TTAAACGTATTTATTGCGACTCCTGTAGAAGACATAATATACTACAACGTTGTATATAATACAATGTTATTTAGATCGTCAGGTACGTAGCATTCAAGTATATCGTATTATATATAAATAATACCACAAATTGCTTTAGTAAAAAATCGTCAAATGTGTTTACTGGGAAAAAAAAAACAATGTTAGTAGAATTATTATTGCCGCCGATATTGTCGGAAACTGTGACTTACGGATAATCTACCCGTCTAAAGTCCGGTATATACCTGTCTATAAACCACTATTCCGAGACACCGACCGAGAGCACGAATCCCGGGTATTAATCGTATTTACTATTTAGACTTTTCCGCGGACCATCTCGTCCGCCCCATTTAAACAAACATTACTCCAGCTTCCTAAATACACTGTCGTGTCTTAAATCTTTTCATTCCAAGAAATGATCATATGAGTGTGCGAATAAAAAAAGTCTAATTGACTAAACGCTGTTCAAACTTTTAATTAAAATAACATCTAGTGGATACAATGAGACAATAATTGTATTTTTACTTATACTACGACGATTAACATGAAAAAGCATTTCGCGACAAGACATCATAAAACTCCTTAAGCTCATCGGTAGTCTATCGGATTAAATTCCATACTACATAGTAAGTCGTGTGCAGTGTCATCGCGCCGTATTTTTCATTTATTTTTTCGACGCGAAAACGCCGTCAATGAAACGTCACAGACACACGCCGCTACGCGATGCCGGGCAACTGCCAACTACTCTGGCGGTGGTGTATTACCGTGCACCGCGACCGTGTACGCCACCGTTTTCCCAAAGTGCGTATATTATAATAATCTGCGCGTACACGTGTTCGTCCGTCCGTGACATGGTTGTATTAGTTATAACGACAGTCATTAAGAGATCGACGAGATGTGGGATTTTTTTTTTCTCGGAGACGTTACTCGAATTCCAAGACTACTATAAAATTGTACGCGTCCGAACACCCCTATATAGTTTGAGTTGGAATTTATACGCGCGGTCACATGCCGGCGAAAAGATCGTTTGTTAACATCGGATTTCGAGGTAAAAGATTAGGTAAGATATATATATATATATTATACGCGCGCGCGCGCGTGTGTGTGTGTGTGTAATACACGTTTAAACCGTTTTCACACAAAAACTGCGCTCCAAAAGGACTCATGGACTCGCGGGTGGTGCGTGGGACTCGCACGAAGTTTCTCGGCGTGTGCGAACCGCAAAAACTTTTACTCTTGCGGGGGGTATGACGATTGCGCCAAAAACGATGTGTACGTGTCGTACGATAATAAACGATAATGACGATAGCGATAGTGTTTAAAACGACACGTAATTATATTTAATCGTACGCGCGACGAAACGATTGTATTCATTATTTCGTTTGCGGGCCTCCGAAGCGACGGCCGAGCGTCCCGGGTACAGCGAGGGTGTCGCCACCGCCTTCGCCGTCGTCGTGGCGGTAGTCCGGTCGGTCCGTGTCCGTTTTGCATATACGTCGCTGCCGCCACCGTCGTACACACTACATTATAATATACGCGATCGATACAGAGATTTTATAAAAAAAACTTTATATATATATATATATATATACATACATACATGAATATAAAAAAAAACACTTTCCCCTCGGCCGCTCGGACTTTAAGGGTTGTGCGGGCGGAAGAGGGCGGGGGTGGCCGTGAAGGGTGGCAGCGTCCGCGTTATATTATATTAAGCGACGGACACACATACACACACACACACACACTCACACACACTCACACACACTCACACACACACACACACACACGCACATCGGCGCACACTCACGCTCGTGCTGCTGAGGCGACGGCGGCGGCGGCTGCCCATTGATTGAACCGAATTAATACACGGAATACATTATATTATGCGCGCGCGTATATAGTGCGGCGTTGTCGCGCAAGAGACCATGTACGGTCGCCGTCGCCGTCGAAAGGCGGTGGAAGCGGATGCAAAGGCGGTGTCGGTCAGCGCGTGTAGAAACGACATATTATATACATAATACATATACATACACTCACACACGCACGAGCGATATACATAAAGGCTGTTTGGTAATGGCGGGGGGGGGGGGGGGGGGGGGGGGGGGACGGCCGGGGGTTTACGGACGTTGACGGTCGGTGACGGCGGCGGGCGAGGAGGATGAATATTATTCTCGGAAGCTATTCGCATTTTCGGACGTTATATACCTCCTCTGTGTGCGCGCGCGTGTGTGTGTGTGTGTGTGTGTGTGTGCGTAGGGTTCTCAGATATGCACACACACACACACCGACCGACCAGCGTACGTGCGCGCGCACACACACTCGCACACACTTCTCCCCTCCGTTCTAATATGTATTATGCGTATATCGTACATATACACACTGTATATAATATTATATGTATATATATATATATGTATTTACGCGTCGTAACGACGGCGCGCGCGAGAGCGAGACGGAGCGATCGAGTGCACGGGAATTCGCCTCGGCCGTCGCGGGTAGTACGTCCGGCCGCCGTCAGAGGGTCGTGCCGCCGCCGCCGCCACCCCAAGCCACCCCGCGCGCTCACCTGTGGACGCGCGGAGCGTTGGTCATCGGGCCGGCGGGCGGCCACCACCGCCGCCCCCACCCCTATCATGGTTTGCCGCCCGCACCCCGCACACCGTCCGCCCGGCCAAGGCTAGCCGGACTACTGCCGGTCGGCCGGCCGGCCGGTTGCCGCTCTACGCCACGCTCGCGCCCGCGGACCAACGCGGCGGCGGCGGCATTCGAAAATTTCAGTCTTCTCGGTCACTCTGTCGGCACTCGTTTCATGTTTCCCCCCGAAGCACACCACACAGCACCCTGTCGATCGGCGGTGCGCGCACCACCGCCACCCCAACCACCATCACCACCGACACCACCGTCGTCGTCGTCGTCGTCGTCGCTGCCGCCGTCGTCGTCGTCATCGTCGTCGTCGTCGTCGCCGCCGCCGCCGTAGTCGTCGCACACATACACACGCACACGCACACACCGCGCGCTCTCACACAACCACCACCACCACCGACACCACTACCATCACCGCTACCCCACTACCAACACCGCCGCCAAGCGACATCGCATCGTGTAGTGTACACACACACCGCCGGCATACACACGCGATATTTCGCCCCGTTCGTACCTCCGTCACCGGCTGCCCAGTGTCGTCGAGCACACATCACAATATCGCGCGCTCCGACTCGCACGGACGACGAACGCGCGCCACTACACACCGTCGAGAGACTCGTCGCGATTTCTTCGGTTTTTTTTTTTTTATTTTTTTGTTACCCCGAATAATTATCGGTTCCGTATTTTGGTTTTTTTTTAAATTTTTTTTTTTTTTCTGTTCGCTCGACTCCCAAACGAAAATATTTTTATTTTATTTTTTTAACAGTCGTCGTGACCGCACAAACGTCACCGGTTGACGTTTGTCTTTTTTTAAAATTTTTTTCGTAAAAAAAATTTACTGCCATGGTTTTGCCCGCCAAACACGTTTTACCCGCCCGCCAATGGCCACCCGGCGACACGCCGGCGTCACGCCGATGATGACGGTTCGCGCGCGGCATCACCGTCACCGTTACGACGAGTGTCGTTACTACAACACCGCTACCACTGATACTACTACTACACCCACCACACCACTACCGACGCCGCTACAGGACTGCTCTAGCGACAACAGTACGCTCAGCTGATTCTCATGTGCTCGCACGCCGAAGCTGAAGCCAATAACGTAAGTTTAACATTTTTATATTCAATAATTTCGCTTTAACGTCCAATTACGTCACCGCCGTCGACGTTTATCAACGTTACAATATTATAATATTAGATTATATCGTTTAATTTTAGTCTTCCGCTGTCGGGTTCATTTATTACGGTAATTTTGTCGGATTATCAAGTTCGAAAGCACGGTGGTTGCTCATCGTCGTGTTATTCAGATACTTGTTTTTCGTAAGATTCTCGGTTTTGTAAGTTTTATTTATCAGGTTCAGAATGTTACATTGTTGTTTCCACTGTATCTATTAATTTCTTCCGATAAGTCTATAATAATATAACGCAATATCATGTGTACATCATATGCCTTATTATATTTTCTTTGTCGATGTCTACGGCAAAGATGAAGTTCTAAGCGATTAGCTAATACGAGTTTGGGGGAGAGGGTTTAAATATTATTTAACGTATATTGTTGTGGGTAATAACTCAAAATTTCCGATGTATTAATCACAAATACAAACATTTTTAACAGAAGCACTATTCATACGTCTTACGTAATATTTAATTATAAATATTCACAATATTTTATTTAATAATTAATTAACAAGTTTAATTATAACGTAGTGTTCAGTGTCTACTCAAAAATAATATTTCCGTTTCTTAGTGAAAAGATTATTATTTTTTTCAGAAGAAAGGTACACTAGTTTTCTGATTTGCTCCGACAGCCTGCTTGTAAATCTGTCGGGTGATCAGTAAAATGTATAGTTGTGGGATTTAAGTTGGACGTAAAATGACGTTCATAATCACTATTGATTTTGCATAAATATATTTTGTCTTAAAAATTGAAAAAATAATAAACTTGATTATTAATAAAATCAACTAATAAATATTATTTCTGGGGGGGCTTAGCCCCGGTAAGACTCTCATCCTCCAATCCTCGCTTAACCTTTAGTCCTCGACGAACAACGATCATTATCGTTACTGTAAATCGTGGTGATGTTATACGATATTATTCGAGTTTGTATATATTTCGCGCGACAAAAATACACCAAGCGCGAATTAAATTTCCCTACGTACATCGTCGGACGATAATAAAGCAATAAAACGCGATCGGCGAGCGACACACATCGATCGCGATAACAATATTATTATATTATTATTATTCGTTCAGTCAGCCTGGCAGACAAGAATATTGCTATTTTTCTGATGCTCGTGCGGTTTACATGTTATTAATGCAGGTACCCGACGCGAGCGAGTAGTCGATCGTAATGAGCCGTCGTCGCGTGTTGATTTTAAATTATATTTTATAATTATAATATACAGTTTTTATTTTTCGATTAACGCTTGGATTTAGGTCGCGAATCGCTTAGACGAGTGTATTACACGTAAACGATTTTTTTGTTCTTTCAATTCGCTGTCGTGTATTGCACGTTAGCATATTACTATTTTTATATTAATAATATCCACAACGAACACATCCGATGCGCGAGATATCAAATTCTCGTATCTACACGTTTTCCGGCGGCGGGACCATGCCGTACTTGTTACCCGGTACGTATTTAGACCGTTTTATGCACTATAATATTATTAAGTATCTCAAATGTCATCATTTACGTTCATTACATTATAAATTTTAGTAAAAATATCAATTACTAGTCGAGTAATCGATGAGTATGCCGCGCGAGTACAATTACGAAGTTCCGTGTCGATCGGTTGAAAACTTATAACACGCACTATATATATTATTATAATAATTATAAAACGTCGATAGAGACAGTGAATCTAAACAAAAAAATTACTCATAATATTGTATTGTTATTATGACTGTATAACAGGTATGGCGATATTATCGTGAGTCATTCATTCCTCGTCGCGCACCGCAACCACTACAACATTGCATCGGTTCACGGTTTTTTTTTTTTTTTATAAAATATTTTATAATAATTATTATAATAACCGCGTGCACAGACACGCACACGCGCGCAAGAAATGCCGTATAAGCGTAATTAAAAATCGTTAATTTTGACATGTTGTGTATGAGATATTAACCCCCCCCCCCTCTCCTACCTTAGAGCAGTTTAAAAGATAATTATTAGTATACCGAGATATCACGATGTCGTGGCCGCGGTTATTATGACGTAAAGATGCGATATTAATCGATATTTTAACGTAGGAAATACGAGACTCGAGTTAATAGAAAATAAATCCGAAGTTTAAGCGTTATCAGCCGAAATGTCGACATAATAATAATATTAGTGTCTGGCGGCGGCGGCGGTGTAATACATCGCGCGGCGCACCGTCGTAGGCGAGAGTGTTTCGAAGTTTTTATCGTCCGACCCCGACCTTGACATACCCCGTACCTTCGTTTAGTGTGGCATTTCCGTCGTAAACCGCGTAAGTACACACACGTCTGAACGTAACTCGACCGAATCGTGTGTACACGTCATGTATATAATATTATTATGATCGGTAGGCAGAGGTTACCTATAAAAAACGACGGCGACGACAACGGTAGTAATAATAATAATAGTAATAGTGATATTAACATTGAAATCACAGCTACGTTTTTCACGCACCGGCATAAATAAAAAAAAAAAACATAATTTAACATAACAAACCGATTTGTCGTAATAACCAACAATATTTATTATCACTATTATTTGTGTTACGCGTTTTTCAGCGTTTGTCGTCGCGAGCGTTACACACTTGTCACCATATTATTATTACAAACACGGTTAACCGCGCACAGGTGATAAACCCGATTGTGGTATACCAGCGGGAGGGAAGGAGGGGAAGTCGATTAATTTGCCATGTATGTATTGTGTGTGTGTTGTATGTGTGCGTGCGCGAGAGATGTGAACGTACGTAAATTACACAGGTCGTGTACACTTGTCACAGCGGGTGGGCGGCGCCCGACTAGGGGTCGCGACTTCGTGTACACATATCGTTTATGTACGTAAATATATTATTATTTATATTTTATACGCGGTCGGCAGTGCGCACCATCGGTTTAAAGGGACGTCCGACGAGTAGGTTGGGGTAGGGGGGTGTACGGCACCCTGTTATAATGCTCTACCGGTCACGAATTTAAATACCATTCGTTATTTTCGGACACGTAAAAAGCGTAAAAATCACGAATACGATCTGTTACGTATAGATATAATGTCGCCAACGACCGTAAAATGTCTATAGTACGGTGTACGCCTTTCCGTATTTCACCCACTCAACCACCACCTACCCACCCACCCATCCGTCCGTTCGCTCTCTAATCCGCAACCCGACGGTATATTTGCCGCGTGTGAAACAATAATCATGACTAACGCGTTTTCCTGTGTTTTTTCTCGTTTTCAGCGCACGTAATCATGGAGATGCAGATAAGCAACGCGTCCGAGTTCCCGTTGTACCACTCGATGGCGACGGGACCGCACTCGTTCCAGCTTCCAAGCGCCATACCGCCCGTCAGCACCATTCCGTCGTACAAGAACACTATGTTCCCGGATAGGTTGGGCGGCTTCTACTACGACTCGGCGGGCGTCACGCACGCCATGCCCGCCGAACGGTGTGACCGGTGCTACGTCGAACTGTCGATGATCAGCAGTGCTCACCACTTCGGCAAGAAGCTGTGCGGCATGTGCGCGGCCAAGGAGCAGCAGGTGTCGCCCAAGGTGGAGACCGAAATCCTGGACTTAGACTCGCAACAGGTCATGTCGCAACAGCAACAACAGCAGCAGCAGCAACAACAGCAGCAGCAGCAACAGGACACGACCAAAGCGTTCTTGCAGCACGGCGGCGTAGGAGTCGTCGTGCCTCCCGGTTACGATAGGCCGCCGCAACCGCCGCCCCCGCCGCCGCCGGCTGTCGAGTGGCCCGGTTACTTCCAGCCGCAACAGAATACGCTGTCCGGCGAACACCTGTCCCCCGACTACAACAATGTGTCGACCACGACCACCACACCTCCAACGATGATGGGCGGATCACCGCCTTCCGACATGCAACCACAGCAACAGTACCAGACCAACTTTGACGGCGGCGGGTACGCGGTCGACTCGAACCAACAGCCCGGCGGAGGCGGTGGTGGGAGCGGCGGCGGCGGGTCCGGGTCCGGGACCAAAGGAAACGGGTCGTGGAAGTCGAACGAGGCCCGGCGCGCCAAGACTTACGAGTGTCCGGCTTGCGACAAGTGGTTCACCAGCTCTGGTCATCTGAAACGGCACTACGGCACGCAGCTGCACAAGAACGCGGTCAAGCAGAGCGGCAAACCGGATCCCGCGCTTTTGCCCATGAAACATCACTATCACCCGTACCGGGACCCCGCATACGTAGCCCAACAGAAGCTCAAGCAGCAGCAGCAGAACGGCTCGTCGTTGCACAAACAACAGTCGTCCATGATGATGCCAGCCGACTTCCGTCCCGTCACGTCCACGTCATCGTTTAACACCGATTCTTTTTTAGAGCTGACTCCCCCAAACCTGACAGCAAGCCTCTCGGACAGTTTGGGGGGAACCCAATTCCTACCGGCCCGTCGGCCGGTCAGCAACAGCAGCAGCAGCAGCAACAGCAACAACAGCAGTACGGCAGGTTTCACGGACGAGATGCAAATTTCTTCTTATCCCAACAACAACAGCAGCAAATACCGGGCGGACCTAACGGTGGTCCGTACGGCGGCCATCCGCCAAGCCACGTCGTTCCCCGGCCACCGGCAGTCGACGGCGGGTCAACAAGCGCTTTCGGCATACCTGCACCACCAGATCACGGATACCATCCAGCCATACACCACCCAGGGTTCTATGATCCAAACAACTACCAGCACGGATTTGTACACCACTATGCCCGACAATAACGGCTGCGGTAACCACATCTACCACGTCCACCACCACCACCAACCAAATCAGCCGGAACAGCCGTACCATCTCGGCAACGTAATCGTCCGCAATCAACATCAACACCAGTTGCCGCCTCCGCCGCCAACGCACCACCTCCATCACCAGCGAACCGTCGATTATCAGCAACCGTCGTCTACGACGGTGCAGCCGTCTGCGTACCAACAACCGGTGCAGCAAACCCATCAGCGCCAGTTGCACGTGCTGCAGCAGCGCAACGTTAAACAGGAACCCGTGGAACTGATCGAATACAGCGTCGAAGAAACTCCGATGGCCAGCCCGGACTCGAGCATAGACCATCATCATCATCATCATCAACACCTCCAACACCAACAATTGCACCACTATCACCCACAGTACCAAGGACTGCTGGTGGTGGCGCCCATATCGCCGTCGTCGCCACCACCGTCGCTGCCTCTGCCGACGCACCACGCCGTCGCCGATGACGACACGATGGTCAGCGACAGCGGCGGTTCCATCGACCTGGACACCGGTTCGCCGCCGAACTTTAACGGCAGTTGCGCGGAATTGTCGTCGTCGCACTCCTCGTTGGCCAAAAAGTTCCGGAAAGCCACGCGCGTCACGTGCGAGCTTTGCAACAAAGACTTCACGGACAAGTGTTACAAGACCCAGCACGACCAGAGGTTCCACAGCGGTGAGAAGCCGTACCGGTGCGGCGTGTGCGGCAAGCGGTTTGGCGAGCACAAGCAGCTGCAGGTGCACGAGCTCCGGCACAACGACAGCAACAAGGCGTTCCCGTGCACCGTGTGCACCAAAAGCTTCAACTTCAAAAACGATCTGGACCGGCACTTCATGTCCAGCCACTCGGCCGACAAACCGTACCAGTGCGTGCAGTGCGAGAAGAAGTTTGTACGGCTGGACCACAAGCGGCACCACGAGAAGACGCACGACGACACCGTGGAGAAGACGAAAAAGAAGAAGAAAGCGGCGGCGGCAGCGGCGGCCGAGATGACGTCCAGCCGTTACAGTGTCGGACAGCTGCAGCTCGCCGAGGACCAATCGTAAAACACACTTTACTATTATACGTATTTGTTTGCGCGATCGAGTAAATCGCGTTTTAAAATGTTATTGTTCTCCCCGTAAACATGTTAACATTTACGAGATAAAAATATTGTCGCGGGAGTAGGCGACGCGACGACACACCGTCAATGTAAATTGTATTATTATCATTATTATTATAATTTTTTCCATTTTTTGATTTCGGTCGAAACAGCGTTGTACGACTCATCCGTGTCGCCCAAACCACTGGCAGGAGTATTATTTCCGAAGACACGTTTGAAAGCGTATGACTATGTAGGTACCGTGTAATACTATACTTGTATCGATTTACTATTGCGGACATTTTTTCGTTCGATAAAAATCGCGTCGATGATTTTGAACCTGACCGGTCCGGCATTCCGGCGCCGTGAATATTAGTGAAACATTTTTCGAGATTGACCGGCATTAAAATTTATGTTGTACATAACAATAATAATAATCCTAAATCCAGGGGCATTACAATATTGTTAAGAATTTTTTATTAATATATTTTACAGCCCATACCAAAAATTCAACTACAATCCTACCCCAATTCCTCCCCACACCCCTAAAACAAAAAAATAAAAAAAAAACAAATAAAAATAAATTAATACCCCGTCCCATTGTTGCGTCGTTTGTTGATGGCTCAATATCTTACACTAAGTATACATACCTATTACCTAATATATGTAATATTATTATTTTTTACATTTATTTTTAATTTGTTGAATTTATTTTCATTTGATTTGGGTACCAATATTGCATTAGTTAAAACATATCCCCCACATGTTACATATCACACGACGACGCTCTAGAATTATTATTATTATATTAATTATGACATTCGTTTGTTTCGTACCTGCTATTAACTATATAATATAATTGTATGATAATATTATATTGAATATAAAAACTGATATTTTTATTTTGTGACCCACTATATTATTATTTTGTGTTAGTAGTTTTTTTTTTTTTGTTTATAGCAGTAAGACGAAAGCGTTATTATTTTTTTATCGCCCTTTGTCCTTGGTGCGAATTTTTAAGTTTTTTCACACATACACAAGTTTTGTTACTTTTTCAAACTTCATTGTATTAATTGTCCATAATATCATGTGTTATTACGCCAAGTGTTTATTATTATTATTATTATTATTATTATTATCATTATTTTAATTTTATTTTTTTTTGATTTATTTTAAAACAAATATCGATAGTACAAAAAAGTACCTCGTAGATATTGTGGAAGACTACTACTACTACTACTACTACTTGGTATCAAAAAACAAATTTATATAATTATAAGTATAACAATAACAATTATAATTATATATTATATATTATTAATAATTAGCAAAATTATTATATAATGTTTTAACGAGCAATAAGTTTGTAAATAAAAACAAAAAATAATAAAGATTGATTAGAAATAACAAGTTTTTTCAACTACGTATTTTTTAAGTTTAGTTTTCCTTTAATCTATAAAAAAATATATGTAAGTATAACGTGTTTAAATAGGTTGATTTTATAAGAAATAAGTGCGTGGAGACACCCTTCTCTTCCGCTTCATCACGACGATAGGGTCGTGGATTTTGAACCTAAGAAAGACCCTTTTAATACGTCGTAGTTTTAGCCGGTATATTATAAGGGATGGGAAGTGATTCTTATAATCCATCGTGGCTTCCACGCATCCGTTCTTCCTCCCTTAACCGTATTTTATTAGGCATTACGGTACACTTATTTTAAACCGATCTAGGGCGAAATTGCCAACGATTGTCAACTATATGAGTTAAGATAAACGGAAAATTACTGTTTAGAAATCGAGTAGCGTTCAACGAGTTTTATTATTATTATTATTGGTTATTTATTTATTTATTATAAAAAGTAAGCGTAAATAGTCCAATCATAAACATTTACATTAATAATATTAATTAAATATATATCTTCAATTACCATCAAGAAATAATAGTTATAATAATAATAAAAAGAAAAAAATTGATTAGGAACAATATTAAGAATAGAAGGACTGTTCTTCATTTAACAATTCACGTGATTCTTACAGATTGGTTAAACTGCAGTATGTTAAAATGTATTTTATATAATTTTTATTGACACACATCTATTCGAGGTTTGTTATAAATAAATTGTTAATGTAAATTACGTTTGTTAGATATTTTTCGTATTATTAATCATGCATGTGTGCGCACGATTCGATAAATAATAAGTGTTTAAAACATTAATTGATAAACTTCGATTCACAATAAACAAGCAATGATTCAAAAAAATCAGTAAATCATGTTATATTATAAATTATTTAAATAAAAAATAAAATTACTATATAAATATCATCAATACTCAATATGGTATGTAAAATATTTTTAATCGTCGGTCATCGTATGATTACAACGTTATAATATGCGTATTTATTATTATCATATTATATAACTGTATTATCATTCAACCATACCATCTACAAAGCTAAATTGTATTTTCAACATTTCTAGTTGTACGATGTAGCCTGTAGGTAAGTACTATATACATTATGCTTGCTTTATGTATTATATTATATTCGCTTTATTATTATACAGGTAGCACGCCCTGGCTACCGTCACCGCCATTTGCCTCCACGACCTATTCAAACTCTTCCACCTCATATCATCGTCCTGGGCATACTATGTGTGCATTTATATATATATTCTTAGAGTTTTATACAATTTACGTGGCGGCTCCGCGTGTTGGTCGATAGAAATTTACATTTTTCGAGACCGTTCTCGCGCGGTCATTGCGGTAAAGGACCCACCGAACAAATGACGTCTAAATATTTACAAGTGTTTGTGTTGACCACCGTCGTAAAAGGTTATATACATTATATGTGCGCTACACACACACATTTCATAAATTATGCCACTGCCTGCATACACGCGTCTCTCACATATATAATATACAGCGTTCAATATAAAGTGTAGTACCTACTTAGGTACCTATGAAACGGTGGGGTAGTGAAATGTCATAAATAATAATAAAGCACGTATAATGGACGTATCAAAACACGCGTTGTTCGGATATCGTATGATATAGTGGATAATATTTGGTTTAAGAAACATTTAAAAATTAGGTCCAATGGTTGAACGGTTAAGATTAAATAATATCAGTTTTATAGTTTTCTTCCACTGTGAGTATATTGCGTTCTGCTGTCGAAAACTATTTATCTATGAACAGCGATCTATTCGATACTCGTCTTGTATGGAAGAAATGGACGTATTGCTTTAGACGTTCATTATAACCTATCACAACCAAAGTACCACCTAAATTTTATCTACCGAAAGTTATTGCTCTAGAAAATCATGTGAGTAGGTAAGTATTAAAGTTTACAAATTTACAATAGCAATTTTTTCTAAGAAAACGGAATATTTTAAAGTCACATAATTATTCTTTAATTATAACGAAAAAAATATCAAAGTATTATCTTAATTTATAAAATAATGTAAGGTTGGGTTAGGTTATAGCGGAAAACATAACGTTATATCGTAATGTAGGTAACTTCGCATTGGAAACTATTTTTATCATTTTTAGAATACATAAATATTACATATAATATACGAAATAAATATTTATTTTAATGAAAATTTATTATGATACTAATTAATAGATAACATAAATATCAAAATAAATGTTGATATATAGTGTATTGCTACCTATATAATTTCCTCAATAGGAACAATAAGAGGTCGTTCCACACTACCAAAATATGAATAAATTAAGTATTTAAGTAGGTATGTAAATAAACTTAACAGAAATCAATTGCTTTGATAGAAATAATATAATATAACAATTTATTACAATTTAATATCTATGGCATTGTTTGGTGTAGAAATCTTACCTCCATCTCTCATCTAGTTTTATGAATAGCAAGCTAATGTCCGATTATGAGCCGACCTGATTTGCACCAATATGTAAATATTTATATACTTTATAGGGTATGGTATCCTAACAAAACCTATAGGTAATGAGTACTAAAAGCAAGCTGCACAAGCGTATAGCACACATTGAATATAAAATAATATTAAATTTGATAAGCTGTAATGTAGACACTATTTTTTCATGAAAGTAGGAGAGAATAATGAAATTGTTTACAGAAAAATGATGGCACATAAATTATTTATCACTATTAACACATATACGAATGGAATCAAGCTGTTGTACAATATTAAATAGTATAATTTTAACTGCAATAAAAACTCGAACTCATTGGGGTAAAACTTACTTATAATAATATATCTATGTTTTGCTATTGTGTCTAGTATTTTGTTAAAAATTAGTTATTCATAGATTTATAATTATTTTTGCGCTACCGTCGTGATCAATCAACGTAGGCGGTTCTTTAACACACCACAGTACCTAACATATAATTTATAGAAATTTAAATATTGTACTTTATAAACAGATCATAATTATTCATTATTAATTATTATGTAAAATATACGATAGTTAAAAAAAAATTAAAATTGTCTAGTACATTTTTACTCGTTAAATTTGAACAACAAACATTTACTTTTCCTATGGTATTTATTAAATATGTTTTTAACCTTTTAATACAATAAAATATCCTCTCAAGCGTAGCCATTGACACAAAGAGTGTGCAAACATTTTTTTAATAATGTTGTTATATGTTAGGAAATATATCAAGGTTACAAAGTAATGACATCTATTTCATTATCAGGAAAAGTTTCTAGTCTTGAAAATGTGGCTTTCCATAAATGCTATATAGTACGTACCTAGTTAGTTTTCAGAGAGGTGGGTTTTTTTTCAGTTTTATAAACCAATAAAAACGTTTTCCTCCACTCCGCCAATGAAAAATTAACTATATATAATTTGTCTTAAATTTGTTCGTCAAGGTATAAAAATAAATATATCTATTATTTTATAATCCTATAAGATGTTTATTTTATTATTTTCCACAAAAGTATAATTATTTATAATTATTCTGAAATATCACTTACATTTAAATTATTCCCAGTATAAACTTTTAGGAAATTTCAGTTTTTCGTGTTAATGTTAAAGTAGTGTTATTATTTTACTAATAATAAAAAGTATAAACAAATCATATACTGTGCAGTTTGAAAAAGACATGAAAAAGTAATTAAACACGACGATTTTATTTGCGTCCCTTAACGCTTGACACTGACGGCAATTGAAACAAAAATAATCTACAGATAATAAGAAAAAATATAATCTATTAACGGGACATTTTAAATCTAAACATTGTACATTAGTCCAAAAAGATCCCACGAACTTAAATAATATTATGTAATTAAATATAAATAATGTCCCATTAACTTTTTTATCTGTCTCGTGTGATGAATCATGATTCTATAATTATTAATCACATTGCAATATATTGCGCATATACTCGTACATTTTAAGCACGTATTTATATATTTAATTTATCAATGTTCAAAGTAAATGTTATTTATTTATAACTCGTGTTGAGATGTATTAATTTGTAATGAATACATTGTGTTATGTATACGAGCGAGACAAATTGTTTATAGGTATATAACATGCGATAGTTTCGCGGAACGGTGTGAAATGACACGGGTATGTCAAACGGATTAGTTTTGGACGGAGGGGAAGAACACACAGCGACGTTATCGAATCGACGAAAAATATTAACGGTTAACATTAATAATTTGACGGTCATAAATATTGTTTTCTCCTCAAACATAAATATTGCAGTATTTTCGCTTTTAATGGATATTAATTTAAGATGTAAATAATGTCTCGATGGCGTTGACAGCGCAATCGGTATTGTTTTATAATATTTAGATAATATAATATAATGAAAAATATTATAGTGTACATAATATTGTTACAATTAAACAAACAGCCGAGTGGATGTATACTAGAAATATTATATTCTATATCTTGTGAATCT